GTTGGATGGTTTGGATCATGAAAGGAATTGGTACATATTTGGGCAAGGGATGGAGGGGTTTGAGAGCGTGGTGCTTTATGCAAAGTGATGACGGTTAACAAACGGTATCAACGGTTGACAAGGGGGCGCACTTGGCTGATGTGTCAACGGCCCCAATATCCGGGGAGCCGATGCTGAGGCATTTGGCCACTGCATGTGCTGGCGGCGGGGCAGTCCTGGCCAGTGCTGCCTTGGGCTCCCTCAACATAGCTAAATGGGCACCTCAGCGTTTGCGCTGTGGGATGCTTGTCCTTCAGTACGGGGCCTGCAGGGCTGATTCAACGGTATTTAGCGAAGACTTCTGATGGCCAATTAAGTCCGTCTTTGCAGCGGAGAGTCTGGCAGAGGGGGGCTTGGGTGTCAGCTACTGGTATGGGTATTTTGCGCACTTTCCAAGGGCGGCCGTTGGCTTGGCATCTGCTTCGTATGGGCTGGAGGGCCAGTGGAGCGGCCAACTCCAAGAACTTTCCAAGGGAGACGCTGGAACACTCTAAAATAAAAGGCGAATTTTGGTCACCGAGTGTCTAATATTAGACATTAATGTTGGTGTTGAGCGTGGTGTGCTCCGTCGTCTGTCCAGTTCTGCCATGTGCAGTGACAGCGCACGTCATTATAGTGCTCGTTTGTGGTGTATTGGCAGGGCATACATCTCAAATGTATGCCTTTGCCAAGCATACCTTGGCCATTTGCACTCCTGTCCTATAGAAGACAGCATTGCTGACCTGGCCATACACGCAAGTACGCCAACAAAATACCAGAACCGCTATGATGCCGTGGATGCAAACAATGGCCACCATCCATCCTGTGCCCAACTGCGCAGCCTGAACTTGAGTGCGCACCATCGAGAGCCACCTCTGCATCCAGATTACAGACATCTTGCACTTCCTGCGTCCTCTCATCAGAGCCCCTGATTTAGAGGGCCGCACAGGGCGACGCGTCCTCTCAAAGATCTCTGGTACCTTTCACATGAACAGAGTCTCCCAAATGACCAAACTCGAACCGGACAAGCACCTTGCTGCAGCAATGGACATGCGTGTATTGGACTCCGTTCAGTGGACCTCTGGTTTCTCAGGTGTGTCCGGTATGGACATTGAGCAAAGTGCCAAATCCGCAGAGGACGGGAGCATCATCTCGTGGCTTACACATCAAGGCGAGGAGGCGGCCATCACGCCATCAGCTCCCCACTTAGCCCCAGCAAGCCATTGCACATGGTTTTCTCCATGAAAACCGAAGGTATTGCCACAATCCAACAACTGTGTTGTAAAAAAGCATCAACGTACTTCACCAAGCTCTCAAGCCTGCAGACACCGAGACGACACGCTTCACCAAGTACTGAAGACAACACCCACAATCCGCAGACAGCGAAGGCGTTGGGCAGCAGGCGCTGGCGTGCCCCCGGAAAGTACCCAACGGGGTCACCCAGCGGTCGACCTCGCAGCTGGTGGCCAACCACGCAAGTTGCTGCTTCGGAGGTGCGGTCAGCCCCGCCGTCAGCGAAAGAATCCCAGCCCCAGCGAACCGCCAGTACAGCTCATGGCATTTGCGTGTTCCCTCAGTTCGTGATTGTTGGAGCGCTCAGTTGTTCCAGAACCCTCCATCGACGCCTGAACCGTCTGATCCGGTGCGTTTCCACCACGCCCTGCTGGGGCGCTTGATGAGCCCCTTCCGGACACTGCTGCCGCTCTGTCTGGCCTTGTCGGTTGCATGTTCTGGCTGCAGCCCCCCAGCGCCTTGCGGCAACTGGCCTGCGCGACTGTGGGACGATGGCGGCGCTCGGAAGCGGGCAATCCAGTCCGGAGGGCGGCGTCCGTGGCCCGGACGTCGGAACGGCATTTGTGACCAATGGCCATTTGCCGCCTCAAACTTGCAAACCGGCGCAGCGAACAACTTGGCGGCTGAGCCACGTACTGGCGGCCACAAAGCTCGCGCTCTTCAGCAGTTTCCAGGCAGGCTGTGCCCTGTCTGCCCTACTTGTCCGCAGACCTCGTTTGAGCTCCATTTCAGCCCCACTTACTTTTTCCTTCCGTCAACCTTTCTTGTGTCTGCCATTTTCCTCTTCTATTATCTTTCCGTTGCTGTTGTTTTCTTGTCCTACATTTTATTGGCTCCCTTTGTCGCAGCGGCACGTGGCCTGCTCTTTATTGTTCTGGTCACAGGTGTGTTGGGATTCCTTCAATTTGTCATGCCCAGGACGGCCTATCAACTGAAAACTGCTCTTCCTCAGCGGGCTCAGTGTGCATTCCCGTCTCAGTAATCCCTCGCTTCCTTGCAGTATTTAGGCTTGCCTCTTGCAAGCTGTGATCAAATGTACCCAAAGTGCAGTGCCTTATTGGCACTGCATTTGTCACAACAACCATTTGGATTGTGCCAGAGTGTATCAAACTTGGCTTCATGCATCCAGGACATTGGCCCCAAACGACGATGGACTCCCTCAGTCCCGCCGCCCCTTCCACTTCTGCCCCAGCGCCTCTGCCCGGCAACGCTGGCCTCACAGGGGGACCCTCAGGTCCAGCCTCAGGAGCCCTGGTCGACCTTGCCAAGCACCCCTCTGGCATTGTGCCAGTTCTGCAGAATGTGGTTTCAACATGCTTCATGGGGCGCTGCTTAGACTTGAAGCAAATAGCTATACATGCACGGAATGCGGAGTACAACCCCAAGCGCTTTGCTGCTGTGATTATGAGGCTGAGAGAGCCCAAAACCACTGCCCTCATCTTTGCTGCAGGTGGGAATGAAGATGTCCTTATTTGCGCGGCATAAAAGTGCTTGCCGGTCTTGTCACATGAACTCGGATGAACAGACTTGCCGTATGAGCTTCATAGCGATGCAAGTTGTCCGACAGGCATGGCCCAACCGCTAAGCAATGGCAGCAGATATTTTTGCTGGTTTTTACTTGGGACTTGGGGGATGTCCTGTGTGTGTGCAGTGATGTGCTGTGTTAGGTGAAGATTCTGGCTTGTGAAGAGGACAAGCCAGATAGTGGGCAGCCCCTTCGCCAGCAAGATATTTGTGGAATTGTCGTTTCTGTAGTGTGGAAGTTGGTTCACAAATTCTTATATGCAGCACAAGCAGCTTGCAACACAGTCCCAGGGTCATTGGTAAATGTGTCGGTGAGGATCACAAGGGTGCAGAATCCACCAGCGCCCTTGATGCACTGCACTGGCGCAAATCTCTTCATGTTTTTGTTGATTACCTTTCTTGACAAGAAGGCTTGACAAGCCAAGCCCTTGCACCTAAAGATGACATGGGCAGCAGCATGTGATCAGCTTTGTTTGTTTGCTGTCCACCACTGAAAATTTCTCCACTGAAGATTTCTGGCACACTGTTGCAACCATTCCCTCTGCCTTGCTTGCATTCCTCTGACATTCTGTATTGGGGCATTTTTGGCAGCAGGGTTTTGCCCTTGCTGATGTTTTGATGCATATTCTTGCTTTCCTTGCTCCTGCTTCTTCTCAGAGCATGCGCTTACGCATCTACAATATGCAGTAGTAGTTATTCCCCATTCAACAGCTGTCTCATCACACTGCCTGCACAAGCAGGCAGCATGGGAATGGCTGTAGGAAGCAAATTTGTGTCAGCCATGGATGCAGGCAATCAAATGGGATTGGCCAGCTCTCATATGCGGGTGCTGCCTGCTTGAAGCAGTATCTAAGGCAGCTATTATAATATTATAGTATTATAATAGCTGCCTTAGATACTGCTTCAAGCAGGGAACAAGCTTTGCCTTGGGAATCCTTCATTTGATGGCAGCAATAGCCTATTTGTGCCAAAAAGTAGTTCTGTTTTGCACTTAGAGAGGCATCAGTGCCGATTCATGAATGAGCAGGAGTGGCTGATTGGCTATTGGTGGGTTCACCGAACAGGCAAAATGGTGTGCACTGGTGCTAGGAGTGAGTCGGACTCGAAGTTAGCGGCCAAGAAATTTGCCAAGATCATCCAGAAGATCGGCTTCCCGGATGTGGTCTTCAAGGATTTCAAGGTGCGAAACTCTTGGTTGCTAGTGTCAATTAGCAAGCCTACCCATTCAGCACAACGATGTGATTGCTGGAGTTGGCCCCAACAGTGACAATCAATGTCCAAATCTTGCGTTGCATCGAAAGCCCAACATTAGACACAGAAATAAAGCTAGCCAGTCACGCATATTCCAGCTGCAAATAGCAGATTGACTCTGTATTCGGTGCACTGGTGACCTGTAGGTGCAGAACATCGTGGCCTCTTGCGACGCTTGCTTCCCTGTCCGCCTGGAGGGCCTCCAGCACAAGCACAGCATCTTTGCTCGGTATGAGCCTGAGCTCTTCCCAGGCCTCATCTACCGGATGAGGAAGCCAAAGGTGGTGCTGCTCATATTCGTGTCGGGCAAGTTGGTGCTGACAGGGGCCAAGACACGAGAAGACATCTATCAGGCATTCGAGATGATCTACCCAGCGCTGCTTGAGTTCCGAAAAGGCGACGCCCAGCAGCTGGGAAAGAGCCTACCTGGTGGGTGCCCTGTTTTGGTGCAAGTGCTGACTGCACTGTGCTGATACCATGCCTCTTGCTGCAATTATTGAAGCCATCGTGCTGTTGTGGAGTTCGTGCCGAAATTCTGCATCTGTATGTTGTGCATTGTGTACAGTTTTGGGCTGATGTTTGCATCCTTTGTGGCCTGCATTTCCATTTTCCGTTTTAACCCTTTTGTCGTTTGTGGGTGGTGGGTTGTGGTGCGGGTTTGGGAAGAAGTAATATGGGCTCTATTGGGCTTTGGAACCTGGTGGGATGCGCACAACTGTGGATTGTGTGGTCCTGTTATTTGCATTGGCATGCCAAATCTGCTGACTTGATTGGGGATGCTGGTTGTGTTCCTGCAGGTGGAATATGCAAAATGCCAGATCAGTCTCAGTCCCCATTTTTATTTAAATTTTGACAAGCTCTGCACAGTCACAGTTGCACAGGCGTCACCAAACTGGTTGGGCGAATGTGTTGATATGCCCCAATCAATGGGATGACACCCATATGCTGATGTGCCAGTTGTTTCTTCTTTTGTGATGGGTGGGCTGTGTATAAACAGTTTGAGTGAATGCTGTTTGGAGGCGCACTTTCATTTATGCACAGCCAACAACACAGGGTAACAGCAAAGGGCTTGAATTTGCCAAAACAATTAACACGTCATTGCTTTCTTGTGTAAAAGAGGGAGATAGTGGCAACGATTTTGTTCTGATAATGCTATAGTTCTTGATGCATCGATGGATTGACTGCTGACTTGCATCTTGCTGCCTCGCTTGATCCGTATACTGTTCGATTGGTTGAAGTATCACACCTGAAACTTGTAACGATTGCAGACATGCATGCATGTGCAGGGCATGGCCCCAGTGGGCGGCCCTCCCAGCCAACCAGCGCGGAGGGCAGTGATGAGTCTGGCCACAATGTTCTGACGCCCCCGAGCTCCACAGGGCCAAGCTCAGCGCAGGACAACCCACAGGAGCCCGTCAACGAGGATGCGATGCTGGGCCCCATGATGTCCGCACTCACGGGTTTGGGATTGCCTGAAGGGTCGGGGCTTCATCTTGATGACGGTGAGAATGATGGTGCTAGCGATGATAATGGGGTCCTGGAATCCTGAGATTCCCCCACCAAGTCGATCGCATGGCGCCACCTCCAACACGAACGATGACATGGCATAACCCTCACTGTGATGGTGATTATGGCTGGGGCTCACTTCATGGCTATTTGAGGGTAGCTCGACAGTTATCCGGAGCATAGTTGAAAGCCATTCCCAACAAATGCTAACGACTATTAAATGACTACAAGACGGATTGGCCCAGCAGTCGCCTATGGTGGCTCTGGTTGTTCCAAGTTGTCTTTTGAGCATTTATATGGCTAAGCGTTCGTTTATGGCTACATTTTGGGGCTCGAGGTGGTGGCCTGGTGCCCTGTTTGGTCATGTTCTCTTGACAGGAGGGCCGCGTAGAAGCAGTTATGAGAGTGATGGTGAGGTTTGTTGGAATGGCACACACAGAGTGTCAAAGCACACTTCGCCCCATTGGTAGTGCTGTGCCACCTAATTGACAAACATTGGGAAACATTGGTGCTTGTGCTGCTAGCGTGTTGTGCTAGCAGCACGCTTGGATGCAAGATGTCCATTTGGGATTTTGGCAGAGGATGGCAGAGGGTGTTGCAGGAACTTGGGATTGAGGTGGCGGCGACGAAAGTGGGGATTGGGTGGCAGCCGTGGCCCTCCCGGTAGTGAACAGCAGGAATATGATTTGCCTTTCCTACACTCATTTTGGAATTTCTCCTTTCGCTTTTCCTTTCATCCTTTAATTTGTTCCTCTTTACTATTCCTCCCAAGCTTGGGAAATATATTCTGCACCTAGGAGAGTGAGATTTGGCCGTTGAATCTTATCCGACAATGGAATGGCCATTGAGTGCATTGCAAATTGTCAAAAAATATTTGACAAGCACAGATGTGAGAATGAGTACAAGAGTGTGAGGAAAAGGGGGACTTTATCCCTGCATGTAATTTGACATTTGACAGGGAAGGGAGTACAAGCGAGTGGAAAATGAGTGAAGCTGTGAGCCACCAACGTTTCCCGTCAACAATCATGGCGTGACGCATTTGTGGGAGGTGCCAGTCTTCAGGTTCGCTCTCAGTCATGGCAGGGATGCGAGCAAGCAAAATGAGCTGCACAACTTTTACATTGCCTGTTCCACTGAAAATGTGTCCTGTCAACTGATTCATGCGCATGAGTACTGCGTCATGCTCATTGCCACGAAGCAAAGTCCACGCATCATCCACCAAACGGCAGCATGATCACCAGAGTTAGTGCAAATGAAGGCCCAAAACTTGGGGCTCGGACTTTGTCGACCGCTACGTGCTATGGGACTTATATGCCTTGCCCTTCGGTATGCGCTCTCTCTTCCAAATCCTCAACACTTAACTGATTGAATTGGAATTTTGACTGTACACTCCGAAAACGTAGACACAGCCTTGGACAAAATCTTATTGAAAAAGGAAGAATATATGCTGGACAAGTGTTGCACCAAAGTCATAGAGGACATTTGATTTAGGACGGAGGAAGTATATTTTAGGTTCTATTGGATTATTCAGTCGATATTCCACCAAGATTTCCTGTTGAATCACTGCTGAGTTGAATATGTAGAAAATTAAGTTGTAAAATTAGGTAGTACATTCATCTACATGGCTACTGTTAATCAACATAATGGTGGTTGTACAATTGTCCAATATCCCTGCCATTGCTATCCACCACAGAAAGGCTGCTTTGGGAGATCGTTATTTGTGAAATATACGAAATATGTACATTGTGTCAAACCACTTTGCGAAAAGAACCTGGTGTTGAGCCTTTCCTGCTTGTTTTGTTGCATGAGCATCTTGAACAAGTGGACCAATGATGTTACTTAATAGGCGACCCCACGTTTTGTAGGGATAGACGGTGAACATTGGGAAAATACATAGCATTTCCGGTCTGCGTGCTAGCACTATTGAACATCATATCATTATATATAATGTAGCTTGGTACCTGCAGCTTACATTGAATCAGGAGTGCTCCTGATTCTGAAGCAATACACCTGTGTAGAAAAATTGCAGATTCTGCAATTTCCCAGTTCTAAATTTGGGGAGAAATGTCCAGGGGAAAGATTTTTACTTTTTCATTGAGGTCTAGCTCAAGGGCTGCGCCAAGTCGACTACTTTGTACAGTGTTATTAAAAATGCGGAATTCAATTGCCCCGCTTGGCTACTCTCCACAATGATAATCTTTTGACAAATTTGTGACTAACACCCTGTCGTGCAAAATGTCGTTAGTGGATATTACACAAGTGTAGAAATGGTAATGTTGTGCAACTTCAAAACATGTTTTTCTTTGATCTTTAGTATGTTTATTGTATTATGGGTCGACTGCACATATTGAACATAATAGTTTTTACAATTTGCTTGGAAATCAAGATGTTGCACACTAATTATGCTATTGGCTCATTAACGACATTTTGCATGAAAGGCGAAGTCACTTCGAATCCACAAGCGCTAATATCGACACTGCTGCTGAGGCTTCCCATCGCGAGATTCCCAGCCTGCTTCCATCAGAGAAGCAACCCAACAAGCACATTCCACAGAGGATATGGGACTCAAGAGATTATTTCAGGAAGCGGATGCTGGGAAGCGTTGCATTGCATCCAGCGTATCATCCAATGTAACCGCCACTGCAACAGCTGCTGCTCTAGACCTTGCAAGCAAGCCACAGATGGTATTGGGTGGAATACAATAGATGTGCATACTGTGAGTAATAGCCCCTTTGAAATTGCTGCCAAGTGCCGAGCATTTGCACGCATACACATGTACATTTCCAGGCGCATGTGACGGATATGGAACATTTCCCTAGACATTTGCAATATTGCAATATTTGTATTTACAAAATGCCTGCTTGGCTTCTAGGTTGTCCTCCTACGGCTGAAGAAACCGCATGGCCGGATGCTCACACTCGGGGGTTTCTGGATTCGTCTTTATAAATCCCACAGTAACTGTGAAGGGATTTCAGAATTCGCAATGAACGTAGTCAATCGCTTCATTTGATTGTATGTGGGTTTTGCAGTAGCCCCCCAATCGCCAACAATGCTGCACCTTGCAGGAATTCTTGTGCTTGTGGAGTTGCCAGCTGATCGCATTTTGGACACCTTCCGGGCAGAATATCAGTGTTGGAGGAATGTTTCATTGAGTCGGGTTATTGAAAAAAAATGCATTGCCCAGTTTGGCCCGGATGCTGAATTCTTTTGAAAAACATTTATGCTTAGGGTTTGGCCCTAATCATGAAGCTTAAAACAGTGCAAAGGTGCATCTTTGCGGTGACCTCCACATGAAGGGATTTCCATTTGTCCCACATTCCATTTGTCTACTGCAAGGCAGTCATTCTAATGCGAATATTTCCAACTCTTCATCTTCATCCAAATCGCTTGGAATGGTCAACGTCTATCATCACAGTTTCCTTTTTCCATTGGCCATTGTCGACAACGAAGAATACTTTTGAAGTGAATTTTGTGGTATCCTATATTGAAACAAACGCCGGTTTCAGGGCCATGATCCCTGAACTAATTTGCACCCATTGCATTTTAAGTCCATGTACGACATCAGCCAAAACTTACAACAAGGCGTTGAATTACTTGATTGGTCAATTAAACGCCATGAAATGTTGTTCTGAAATTCAAGGGTGTTCGAATTATGCACTTTCGGTTAACCTTGATAGCACACGTCATTACTATTTTTCCGCAAATAAACGTCGGTACTAAATTCTTTGACACACGCTTTAGCCAACAACCTCCCAAACTTTCAATAACATGCAACCTACTGAAAGCAGTGCTGCATAAAATTTCTTTGGATTGTAATGGAGCATCCTCATTTCATATGCTCGATTTAGTCATCTTGATACCACGCCACGTTTTAGTTATAAACATCAAGCTGTTACACCTCGTAATCCCACCCAATCATACAGTTGTCCAGCTGCGCCGATTACCATGCCCAATCATTCACCTCTATACAACATCGATGTCAAGTAGGATCTGCCCGTCCTTTGGTGAAACTATCCTCCTTAGTACTCACAGCTTCGAAAGTGTTCTTGCGTACAATTTCCCAGGAGGTTGCTATCCTCAAAGGCGCTCTTGCAATGTTTTCATTGCGTACTCAAAAATATGGGTCCTGATGTGTGCCCATCCCAAATATCGCTAGCCATAGCTCGTGGTTGCATTCCTTGAGCTGCAGGGGGATTTCTCCCAAGGGAACTCGGCAATATTGTCAATGTTCAGATCACAACTGTTGCTACTTTGCCACGGTATAGGCAATAGGCGTTTTGCCATGTTAACCAACAAAGAAACCACGGGCTGCTTTCGATGATACAGAGGTTCTCAGCAATTACTGGTCGTCAATCAAAGGAAATTGCCTGTGCTCTTTCCCAGAGTCTGCATCTTTGTTGTATCCACCTGCACGTACCCGCCTCCTACCTTTCTTATTATGTACAGCTTAAAGTCCTTGATACGCACAAAATCCTGATTAAAAAAGCACAATGTAACAATCACGAGCAACAAGTGGAGAAGATGAAGAATATGGTTTCATCTTCAGAACCCTCTGCAGCCACAATTCGAATAAGTTAGCTTACGCCTTGCAGCCGATATTATGCCTACCGACGGTATGGATGATACAGGGGAAAGTGCTTCGCGCCTTTGTATCCATCGCCTGAATTCAACTGGACCTGTAAAGCATATCATCACAGTTAGAGCCCTGATATAGAGTATAGGTCTACCAGGTCAGGGCATGTCCAGTGCATTAAGCCGTGGTGCACGGCTCCCCTGTCAGCCGTATGCTTGGCAGATGCAGGGGACTGCCGTCTCCCACTGTTTCGTGCATTCCATCGTCACCGTATTTATGCACTTTGGCACATGCATCACGCAGATATTTGGGGGGATTTTGGCCTGTTGTGGAGGAGCAACCGTGCGCGTGTCCTGTGACTCGCATGCTTTCGTTGTCTATGAGTCTTCGCGTATTTTATTTCCTCCGTCCGGAATAAAATGGAACAATTTGTTGACTGACCACATTCTTATCATGCAATTTTATATTTCCCTTCAAAATTGTACCAGCTTATCTGCTATGTGCTTAGTCAATGGTAAAATTTATCTACAGAAAATAAGATTCAGGCATATCGTAGTACTTTGAAGCCAAACGACTTGCACAGGAATGTGAACATTCGCAGTCAGTCCCCCCCCCCCCCAGCAAAACCTGGCGCGTCGGATCCAGGAAGGCCCGGCGCACGAGTGATGCCCTTTCCAGTGGTCTTCATTGTATCGGAAGGGGGGAGTTGCCTCGGCGCTCCGGCTCCAGCCCAATGATCGACAAACTCCACAACGCACGAACGACAGAATTGGCGTCTATGTTTGCGCACCGCCATCGATAGATGCTCGAAATCCCCCTCATATTCCACAGCAGCACACCGACATACCTGGGATCCCACACAGCCTAGAGCTCTCCTGGTGGCTACAGACTAGCTGCGTAATATTTGCGTGCAACGCAAGCTCTGTGTTCAGCACAGATCTCCAGTTAAGTGCCTGCCTGATGCAAGCAACCCCCTCTTTGCAAACTCCGCCAGACATGACAATGAAGGGTTTGGATGCTCTATCCGGGACCCCATGTGTCGCTATGGTGGCGCCCTTGCGTCTTGCAATGGCATGGGCGAAGCTCCTTTGTAGCGGCGTCCCTGAAAGCAGCGTGAATGGTGCGCAAAATGTTCCTTCTGGCACGTGCCCACCACAGCCAGTTTCAACGATCTTCTGGCTGCCACGCAGCGAGGGTACGATCACATTCTCCCTAGCCTTCTGTGGCGGTATTAGCACCATTGGCGTCCTCGCCCATGGTGGGGCCCCTTTCTGCAAACGCAGCGATTCTGAGGTTCGCAGATTTCTGGATCTCCGATCCGGAGCTGCTGTCCTCATATGGCCAACACCAGTAGAAAACGGCGTGTTGGCGATGCCAACTGCGATGCCATTTCGACACAAATTGATGCCATCTCAGCCGCTTTTATGCCATCGCAATCACTGTGACGGCATCATTTTGTGTCAAAATGGCATCGCAGTTGGCATCGCCAACACGCCGTTTTCTCCCAGTGCAACAAAACCACTTTGGCGATCAATGGTCGAACAGTACAGAGCCCGGTTTCGTGGTCTTACCCTTTTGGCGAGAACGGTGTCGACCTGCCGCCAAGACGGCAGCAGCAGATATTATCTCTGGGCTGCGCACCGTCAGTCGCAAGGCGACCCGGTCAGCGACCCGCTTGGGGGCTGTTCGGCCAGCCCTCGAGAAACCTCGACTTTTTGGCCTGAATCACAAGGGTTCAAAGTGCTGCCATGTGGCCGGTACTTATTCGTTGTCCACAAAATTTCTGCAATACATAGCAAATGTGTAGGTAGTGCCTTGATCTAGTCTTGAAGGAACACTAAAAAGTGCATGATGAACTATACCCTCCTAAACAAACTGTTTCATTTATTTCCTGACAGAGGAAGTACTATGCATATACTATTCGGAAAGTGCGGCTACCATATTTTCCTAATTTTACAGAGCCTCTTGAGCCTCGCAGCAGCAAATTTATCCTTTTTCAAGCCCTGATCATGGAATTGCCGTTGAGGGCCGCGAGGAAAATCAGCAGCATTTTTCTTGATAAAGAAGTTGTTTCCCATCCACTGGTCACTCTGTTCAACATTCTGGATGAGTACATTCCTGGCTATATATATCACCAAGTAATGCAAAGCATTGGCCACGGTGTGGTTTCTCTAACGCTCGTATAGGTGGCAGTAAACGTGCAAGGATTGCTACATTTTTTTATTATTTCATGCCCTGGGTGAAACTGATTTATCCTATGTATTGCTTCATTGAGCGCCCCAACGGTGTATTGCAACATATTGCAAGACCTGGACCCACGCGCGTCCATGCCAGGATTGACAGTGCGCCTCGGTACCGCAATGTAGGGGTCGCGAACAAAGCAACAAAGATTGCCGGCCTTAGTCGGCTGGAAATGTTGGATGCCACTGGACAAGTTTTGTTCACTGACATCCAGGCTTTCAAAGGCCTACTCATGTTTGGTGGTTTTGTTTCCTCTTCGACGACGCCCGCATCTCTCCGACCAGTCCGCAGTACGGCCGCCTTGGCAAACATTCGCTATCAAGGCGCAGCACTTGTGCGGTGGTGGGCCAAGGCTGGCTGACAGCGCTTGACGTTGGTGCGAGATGCGACCGCAGGCACCGCTAGCCCCATGGCCGCGAAGACGTGCAGAGCCAAGGCCAGATGCGGCCAAAATGGAATTACACTTTACCATCAAGTTGTGACGGTAAAAACACTACATCCAGTCACTGTGGCTTCCGTTTGTGGCGGCAAGGCACCTGGAATGAAGCCCAAATAGCCCAAAGACACCCAAAGACCACCTCAAACGAAAGCTGTTCTGATTCTATTATATACTGTACACTTGCCTTTTCTGGCTCCAGTACACTTCCCCGAACATACAAACTGCAAAGAAAGCCTCAAATCAATGTGCGGTTGGAGGGTCAAATGTAAACAAAACGAAAACGCACGCCTCCCTTTTCTGCACAGCTAGTTCCCAACTGGGGATCTGACAGCAAGGCCACGCCACTTTGGTTTGCACCCAGCCACATGGAGTTGCAGCCCAATTTGCTGTGTCCCCGCTAGCCTACAGTGCGACAGGCTGCGGCCCCAATGGCTTGCAGTGCGTCAACCTGTTGCCCAGGATGAAACAATTATCTGCCTCTCATATTGCAAAACTTCGGCGACACTCTTCCGGGTTCCCGGTAAACCAGCCCAACCCATGTGGTGCGTAGCCAGAGTGCTGCAGGGTGGCTGACCAGATCTGCGGCTGCCGCTTGTCACACAACTAATCGACTAAAACCGGCCCACTCGTGTCCCACCACCCACTATTTTGACTGAATAGTACTCTTCAATATTTGATGTTTCAAAACGCACCTGGAGACCGCCCTCGATGAAAATTGGTCCGCCACGCAGATCAAATGTTTCCCAATCACATGGCGAACTGCCAATTACCCACATACCCGATAACTCCACGACAACACCGCAGCGATCATGACAGTAACAACGACCAAACGCACAAAACGATCCAGTAGTTTGAGAGGCAGGGTTGAGGCGACATCTCTTTCACACGTCCATGTCGGGATCCCGTCATTATGTGTATAGCCAACACTCGCATGACATTCACGACCTCCTCGCAATCCATGCACACCCTTTTCAAACTTCCCAAACATATACACTATATAAATATATACACTGGTGGCAAACATTACAACCCCGATTCAGCTATCCTTTGTTCTTCAGGTCAGGTCTTTTCCTCCGAACAGTTCTAAGTTATTGAAAGACCAATATGCCCCCCTGCTACTTCCCACCGCCCCCCTATAGGAGCCATCTCACTCCGTAGTCTCCCTCGGTCTGTATACCGAGATGGGTCTATCCAAGCATTCAGTTGATGCGGGGTATTCTCTGCGCCATTCGCACATCCCTTCTTTAAAGAGCTGAATCACATCCAGGCTCATTGAGCGCATCTGGTCCCTGATTTCCATCCTCACAGCGTTGCACAGCGGGCCGCCGCCGGACTCCAGGTCCCCCGTGGCATGTCTGTGGTACGCTGTGGGCGTGCGCTTTGGCGCACGCACCTGTTGGGGGAAGGTGCTGCTGCCTCCTTCCAAATCATGTGGAGCTCTGCCGCCCATAGTGACTCCAAACACCATGGAGCAAAGCAAAAGAATGACTGAGATTAGAACCGCGACTGCCATCACAATCCAGAGGCCTGCAACCTGCAATTGCCACAATAATAGAACTGTTAGAGTTTCAAGCGATGCAAAAAATATAGTCACAAGAGCAAATCCGCAGAAAATTGCACACACCACACTAGGAAAAAAAGGGCCAAATAACACGTGTTCAAATGTGTACAAAGTTTACGGGTTTGTGTTATGTTTGTGTTCTTGGCGTGCAGAACATTGAGGAAATGTGTTTTATGTGTGTTCGCAAAAAGTGTTATTGGCCCCTTTTTTTCCTAGTGCCACTGGACTTGCACAGGCATCTGGGTTGCTGTGATGCGGCAATTGAACAAATGAATTGCGAGCCAACGAATCAGCTTGTTATTTTTGAGCTGCGAAGGAAGCGCTTCGTCCTATGCGCACGACATATGACGTCGATCCGATGCTTGATCTCGTACGCTGATCTGCGCTGGATCTGCTCAAAGCAGATCCATCGGATGAAACGGTTCAGTACCTGGCCGAAGCTCACGGACCTCTTCTCGCTGAATACGCTGTCCGCTGAGCAATTCGACCTTTGGGCGAAGATGTGCTTGCGAGCGAGATCGTACATAACCCCATTTTCCTGCAGCTCCAGCACCTGATTTGACACATTATTCACCAAGGAATGATCGCTAGTCTTGGGGAATGCGAAAGCATAGTCGAAATATTCAAAAGTCTGCGGTAACATCTTCAGGTCGCAGCCGCCAGTGTTGGCAGTGAAGGAAACCCACGGTTCGTCCATAACGATGGCCTTGTATTCCCCTGCCCTCACGCCCTCAATCATCGCGGCTTGGTAATCCTCGACCTGCAAGTCAATCACATTCCAACTATGCAGATTTGCAATTTGAAATACGGCACTCCGTTTTCTATCCTATTTGAAAAGTGGTGTCAGCGACAATGCCAGATTCTGTGGGTAAACACCTCAAATCGCCCCGAATAGAAAACATTATATCGACCTTGATGCCCAGTCGAAAGAACAGCTCAACTTTGGGAATGGTGCGAATTCCAGCGATGCCGACACGGACCAATTGGGACGAGAGCATTGGTTTGCTGTGCCAATGCAGCAAATAGAAACCTGCGCTTATCGAAATACCAAAACCAAACGCCACTTTGCTTGTTTGTCATCGCGTGATGTCAAACGTTGTCCACCTCAATGGAACAATTTGAAAAAAACTGCACTCGTGACTCCCTTGCATTATCTCGAAAGTGTGGAGAGCGAATTTTGAAAAGGATCACACCAATTGGCTGCCACTGCAGTTTTCTTCCTCGTAATCACGGCATCCGATTATAACAATGCAGTCTTTGATCAATCTGGTCGAGACTGTTTCACTCCCAATGTCCCAAATAACGTAACACACAGCTGCGAGAGGGGTGCATATGTTCAACCAAAATACGAGACGCCTTTGAAGGGGAACATGTTTCAACAACCTATGTCGCTGCATTTCAATCTCAATTAATATGGTCATGTGCAACTTCCAAAAGATTTGCACCTTGCCTTTCTTCTCTTTTATTGTGTTGCCGCACCAACTGCTGCAGTCACAACTATGAGTGGCAGCGCTGTTCCCCATAGCTCTGACTGCAGTGATTGGTGTGGCAACACAAAATAAGGCAAACAGCGCTGCTTTGCTTCCTCTATGATTTGATTTTGTAGAGTTCCAAATTTACCTTACCTGCGGCAAGATTTCTGGCGTTATTCCCAGCCCCTTCAGCCTTTCCTCGTAGACTTGTACGGTCGCCACCCGTTTGGCAGGAAGATCGCTCAGATCCCCCAGATCATTGATCAACGTGTCCACCTGCGTAATCGTCAGGAACGCCGCCAGATTGGCGACGTAGGTGTTGATGATGATGAGGACCGTGAAAGCGTAGGCCAGGACCACAACCCTGGCGGCCGTTGAGCGCACCCTGAAATGGCCGAAGTTGAGCAGGGCCGCAAAGCTGTGGTACGTGGCGTCCCTGAGGCCCCTCATCCAGTCCTTCTTGTGCACGAAGCCGTGGCAGGCCAAACTCTCTATCACGAACACCAGCCACGGCACGGCGATCGAGGTTACAATCATTGCCACCCACACGCTCCAGTGCAGGGGCCTCAGGAATCCCCAGTTGGACCCTTCATTCACCCAAGCTGGCAGGACAGAGAATGCAAATCGATGTGAGGCCGTTTGTCGGGAAACGGTTCCTGCCACTGGTTGGGTGGGTGAACACTTCTTGGGATACTACTACATTACTCATAATGCAGCATCTCAGTGTGTATTTTGCAACATATTTTGTGCATTGGGAATACGGAATAGCAAATTTGGTACCAAGCCGCCAAATACGATGTTACCGCTGAAATGCAGTAACCATGGCACGGTAGCCAAAAAGGAGATCTGAGCAAAACGGAGAATAGAACTTCCCACAGCTTCAAGTGGTGTCCGTACTTTTCTCTGTGCCGTGTTCAGCGCCGTGCCCCGCAGTACCCCAAAGATTCCAGCAGTACGAGCAGCAACTTGGCAAACAAGCAATACCGCCTCAGTCCACGGTGAATGAAAGCATTAAAACCAATCAAAAATCCATATAACAAACATATCGATCAATTTTTCAATTAAAGGGAACAAGGAAGGCTTCTCGTAATATGGCGTAAAACATAGGAATATGATAAGAATTAAAAAAAGGAACATGTTCTACCAACATCCACTGTTCTGCCGCCTCGTCGCCGAGATATTTTGCAACGTGATGTGCGTTTTGCAGTTGGAATACACAAGTAAAGCACGAAAGTTTGAAACAATGTTCTGTGAATCAGCTTTCAAATTCCAGCCTTGCTGGCATCTCTGAAGGGCAGTCAATCCAGTTGCGCTGGCGCTTACTATAGCGTCAGTTCTTAATTTCAGCTTGAAAGCTCAGCTGCCTCCTACCAAGCGACATTATTCCCAAGGTGGATCGGTAGGTTGGGTACGTGAACAGGATCCCAAGGTCCTGCCTTTCCGTCGACCGTGTGATCGCTGAAGCCACCATGTCGCAGGTGCTGTTGTCATCGTTCATGAGGTCATCCAGAATAGGTTCAAATTTCCTGCAGACCCACATCAACCGATTGGCGACTTTTTTGCGCTTCACAATACGTAAATACAACGCAAATACAGCCACCTGTACATAACGACAGTACAAGGAGACATTGTGAGTTTGGAGAGTAGCAGCCAGACGCCCTGCGATGGGTAGTCACCAATTGTCGGTTCCATGCCGTCGTTGCCCTGGCTCAGGGCGAGGTGATCACTGTGTTTCGGGTGCCGGAGATGACGGAAGACTGATCATTGTACGCAACTTTCATCGTGTAATTTTCCACTGCCAGCAAGCCGGCAAACGTGCAAATAGTATTAAAATAGCCCTTCCGCAAATGTGCGCTTTTGCTCTTATAAGCGTAGACATAAACGTAAGACCCAAAATTGGGCTCAAGCCCGACGTGCATGATTGTACGTAACGAAATATGGTAATCGCACAGGACCTTAATGATCAATGTCGCAGCACCTGCAGCACCGCAAAGCTGCAGAAACACACCTGCAGTCCAGCGTGTAGTTCTTTATGTCCAGGCGCTCCATCACTTTCCTGACCAGGTGAATGTGGTAACCGGTGTAGGTTTTCTGGTCTTCGGAGGGGTCGCAATCCACAATAGGCAGGAGCTTGGACACACAAATGCGAAAGGGGGATTCATCCTCGGCGGACACGCTCTGAGAGTAAAGGCAGGTCGTGATGGCAGCCAACAATATCAGGCTTGAAGGCCACAGCTCATTCCATCGGCCCGCCATCGATGCCGCTCAAGCCGCGCTCTGTGACTCTCCAGCTGTGCGTGCCTGGTTGCAGCAACGGAGTACGTTATGGTCACTTTAAAGAAGGATCAATTTCGATACCATTTTAGTTAATTGTCCAAAATCTGTGCTGGCAGCTGCAAGGTCATGCAGCGCGTTCAGTTGGTGCCACAGTGGGTTTGCCAAAACCGCTACTTGCAAAGTAACTGTTTAATGGATAATGTACCCTAAAACTTAAAAGAGGCATACAATCATCAGCTTAATTTTCAACAAAAGTTTACGGCATTGAAAGGCAGATCGTGGCCGTGCATTTGAACAGATCCTGTATGCAAATGGGGTCCAGAACAGAGAAGTGCAGTTTACCACGTTTGGAACAGTCCTCTGGTACAGACACTGCACTCAGCAATTTGGGTGAAATGGTGCCTTCGGTTCAAGAGCAACACTGTACTCGTTTGGCTCTCCCATGGTGGACTTTCAGTCCATTCTGTTTGGCCCATCCCATATAATCAGAGAAATTTTCACAACAGTTGACGACCCTTGAGCGTTCAGCTGACCAAAGTTGCTGTTCATTTCTTTTCGGAGAGAATCCATTGGCGCCCAAGCTGTTCATCAGTTATTTAGAGAAACTGAGGTTGTTTGCGTCGACAAGGCTTGATAATTGATGTGGGAATGAAACCCTGTCAGTGGGGCATCGTTTGTGTATCGATCAGTGAATTCTCTGTGCACACGATGTGCTGCTTGAGCGATGAGAAGTAGGGCCATATATACCATGATATGTGCACACAGAGCTTGAGGTGCTGTCCACAACTGCAACACAAGTCGGTGATTCTTTTCTGATTTGCGCTTGCGCACATCCGTGAAACTCTCTTTCACAATGGCCACCGCTGGTCCTTAAGGGTGCCATGGCAATGTATCATGAGAGTCCTAAGACGGCTTGCCGTATGGCTGCGGTGGTGTTCTTTGGGCCCCTCAGGGCAGTCATAGTGCTTCCCGAGCGCGCACACATTCAGCAAAGTTGTTCTGCTCAGACTTGCAGTGCAAGTCTTGCACCAGCGTTGGAGGGCCTTGGAGAGGAATTTACTTACTTCTATCGATATTTCCTATGCTTACCGCCCTATGGATGCAAAGCTTAGACTCCCCCACTCCCCCTCTTCTTGTCGTAAATCCTTGCTTGCTTTTTTGGCAATACTTTTCCTTTGTACATTGTACCGACCGACAGTACTGCAAAGGTTCTGCCACTGTTTGGCCCGGCTGTAGCGGTATTTCACTGTCCCGTGTATTCTGCTCGAAAATTGGCCTTGGTTTTGCGACAATCACAGCAGTGTGGCAACTTCCGAGCACGCTCACTGCAACATAGCGAGATTCACCATTTACTGTTGCGCGCCTTGCAGCACCCCCAACAACGCCTACTCCAGCAATGAAACCGCTGGCTCAGCCTGGATTGGCACGGAGCATCAGCCATTGCCGCTGCCAGTCAGGCATGGTCGCCAATGTGCTGTCGTTCAACAGGTCCCCATAAAAATATATATGGGTCATATCCCACCCAGTGCTGTTACTCCAGAGGGGCTAGGGATCCCTGGTGTGCATTCCCCTCGTTCCATCCGTTGATCATCAATTTCATGATCAGCTGGCCCAGAAACAACATGGGCATCAGTAACCGCTTGCAGTGGTTTGTGTGATCCAGATTCTGTCCTACGGACTTGCGACCACGACAACAAACTGCCAAACATGGAATGTCTGACGTGCATGCAGTTGCGGTATAGAAGAGGTTGCAAGGCCTTTTTCTGACACCGCTAACGCCGTTTTGGCCTCTTCTTGTCTTACTTTGATGTACTCAAATTACGTATTCTCTGAGCGTCCAAGCCCTGGTGCCCACGGCGTCCGCTGAATGCTCATTAGCGACCCCTGTCTAGCGACCTGTCTAGGTTTAGTGACCCCCTGAACGGCTTGTCGCCATTCCCATAGTACTTTACTTCACTGCGACAGGCCCCAGCGCCCGCGACTTCGGCCCTGCGACTAAGTCGCTGGCACCAAAAGCCAGTATGTGCCCGGTACGCCTGGTGTTGCGTACCCCCTGCACCGGCGGCGAGGGTACCCTTTATGTCTGTAGCCAAGGTAACCCCTGCCCCGGCGGCTAGGGTACCCACTTCCCCGGCGGCCAAGGTACCCCATGCACTGGCAGCCATGGTACCCCTACACCGGCAGCTTATGGTACTCCCTACACCGGCATCGCTGCCTGGGACGCCTTGCGGGACTTAAACTACTGCTAAATTGCGTTAAGTACTGCTGAAGCACTTAATGTACTGGGGGACCGCAGCGGCTCGTCTAACGGGGTTCGCTAAACCCTGGCCCCCACTGTAGCGGCCTTCCTTGCAGGAGGCAACAGCAATACCGCAACAGCAGCCCTGGGTGCCTTACTTCAGAGCCCGGTAGATGGTCAAGAAGCGAGGGAGAAACGGAACGGGCGCCCCCACCCCCGCTGCCCCTGTCCAGAAGATCTTCTGTCTAGACAACCCAACGGTCGGGAGGTTCAGGGCGAGGGCCCTTTCTCACTCCACTCTCACTCACTCACGCCATTTTGCCAGTGGGCAAGGCCGCCGCTGGTGCGAGGAGTTGACCGATCGGCGCGAGATGAACCGCACGTGCGTCAGCGGTCCGCGACAAGGGACGTCCAGCCGCAGACAACGAGACTCGATCCAAACCCGACAGAGGCGCCACCAGGGGCTTCTAGGGAACCCATCTCGAGGTACGAAAGGAAGCACGGAAAAAGAGCGGGCGACGGTGCGCATGGCACGCATGGGCAAGCCCGGTAGTGCCAAGCACAACCCAGTAAGCGTAGACGCCAGCCCTGAGGCTCAAGTCCTCCACTGTCTGACACAGCCACTGCCACAGCCATTGCCACAGCGCCTCGAAAGCGGTCCGCACAGCAAAGACTCCAGGGTGCGCCGCCTTCGACTAGCGGCGGTGCCGGGGCTAGCTGAACCCTTGTTCAAACGTCCAACCAAATGCGCGGTGCCCATCCACTGTGGAGGAACGCTCCCCCTCCTACTTCCTGTCCGCCAGCCCGCACACAAAAGCACTACAGCAAAGGCCATTCGCGTCCCATAACCAGCGCACACGTCCGTCACCTGAGCGGTAGGCGAGTGGTGCGCGGTCCACGGCGGGGCTTGCGGGCTGCCTCCTCTCCCAAACTGCCAGGGACCGCCAACCACAGGTGGCCAGCGGGCGTCCACGTTCTGGCGCAGGCGCTCCCTTTGTACTGAATCCTGATTGGTGGAGCCGGTAACGGCATCAACTCTTGTCGACTTCACGGTGCACAATCGAAGTCTTGAAGGTACGAGGAAGCTCGTCCACCTGAGCGGCTTCGATATGGTTCCCGGGCGTGCATACAGCAACATGCACGAATGGGCGAGTGCTCGACGGATTCCACCGAGACCGGCACTGTCGATAGCAGTGTCGTCATCAGCGCCAGACTGATGGCCGTTCTCTGAAGTGCAGCTCAGCTCAACGCGACAAGGCGTGACCGGTCACGCAGCCGGCGGATCCAATCAATTGCAGTGCGCCGCGAACTACACACACGATGCCCGGCAGGTACAGAATCCACTGAGCGGCTCTCGTATCCATATCGAGGTGTCAAGTATTGCGAAAGCACGTGGCAGCTCCGGAGCTGCCAGATGTGGCAACGGAACCCAGTCAAACGCTGGCTGTACTCCATGCGCGATAAGAGCAGCTCGCGTCCAGGACCCAGGCTCGAGAGCCAAACGTGGGGTGATTGGGATCATTTGATACATCGCAGATCCCATGCCCATGGCACATGTGTCGCATGTGCAATGAATAGGATCGTGTCAGAAGGAGATTCAGCGTACAACGAAACTTGACAGCCACTTTTTGGTGATACACGCCTTCGGCGTCCAAGGCAAGTCCAAATCGAGGCAAGCATCGCACTTGATATTGAGTCTACCCAGAGAACCAATTCTAAACACCCCATACTTTGCGCGTTGCCATATTCTTAAGAATAGCTACATTGATGTAGCTATATCATGCTTGCATACCTGCGGTCCCCAAGACTTGAATACCAGTTCATTTCCATCAATTTGCCTGCTGTTCAACCCACTTTTGATCCTATAAGTGCCCATAGCATTGCACAGCACAATCATGCAACCTAATGCAAATCAATTCCTGGCGCATGACCCACGCTACCACAGCACACACCATTCTGGCCACACCAACTTCGATGTCATTTGGACAATGAGTTGCAGTACCATAGTGATTGTGATGACATGAAAGTATAAGATGGCTGCAAATAATGCCTAATGGCATCGCAATGGCGTAGCCATAATGATGTTTTCTACTGGTCTCAGCGACCCCACGGCCTCTGCATCATCATCGCTCAATGCGCCATCTGGTATACCAGATGTGGCTACAGATGTGGCTACAGATGTGGCTACAGATGTGGCTACAGATGTGCGCTACGTAGCGCATCACCTGCCTAACACTTAGGGCGAGCTGTAATTGGCATCAAGAGCAAAAACCATGCGTGTTTTACCTCGCAGGGCGAAGCTCCACCACAAGAAGCGCTGCCCCAGGAACGACCAAATGGTGCCGGGACTCGGGGTAATGAGCAATCTTCACAAGCGCTAGGAGATGTGCAGTTCAGAAGTCTGAAGACATGGGCGATTGGCGAAATCCGCGCCCACAGAACTCTTCAATCAGAGCTCCACACAGACTGGCTCAAAAAGATAAATGGCCATGTCTTACCAAAACACACTTTGAGGAGACATGATCATTTATCCCTATGTAGTGGTCCCTGTCAGCGCCCTTTTCCAAGGCGTGGCGATTGTGCTTCACAGGTCCAGGACCACTGCGAGGGCCTGCCATTGGCGTGAGAGGCAGCCGTACGCAAAGTTAGGTCCCCAGCACTGAGGAGCGATCTCCCGTGGGGAATTGCATCAATATAAATTGAAAATTGATAGTCATTGCAATTTGTTATGTTACTGACC